AATAATGATCCATTGGTTATTCCTTGCTGACCGGACTTTTCCTTTAAATAAAGCTTTAATGGCATTGGAAATTGATTATTGAATAATTTATTGTAATTAATACCTGAATCATGTCTTAAATGAACATTTGCTTATTTCTTGCTGTATTTTGGCCTTCCATACATCGGTTATGACATCTGATGACCCCTGACCCCCTCGTTGGGAGCCCCTGATCAAGGAAAAAAATGTAAAATTCTTTAAAACAATTGCAGAGAAGCGTCGCTCACCCACAGCATCGTACCGTCACCACCGTGTCTCACTGGGGACTGTAGTCTTGTGTTCAGCTCTAAGAGGGATCTGAATTTAAATTAACTAAAAAAAACTTCCAGCTTCAGAAAATCTGGTGTTTTTAGTCCAAATTAATGATCAAACTCTAATTTAATAAAACAAATGCAGATTCATCATGTTGATGTTAGTAGTTTAATCTATTTATTTACATTAGTGACATCATTGATCATGTTTTCCCAGCAGAGCTTTCAGGTGCGGGACTGCAGGGCGAGCCTTTGGACGGTGTCTGACAGGTGGGCCATGGCGGGCAGCTGAGCCTGATGTTTGATGGACTCCAGAGTCCGAACCTGGAGGAGGAAGAGGAGCCCCAATAAGAAACGACTGAAAGAGCAGAAATACTGAAAAAAAACGTGAACTCACAGCAATCCGAGTGTCGCAGTGTCCGTGTTTGTGGCTCAGGTTCCACAGGTTGATGGACAGCTGGCTCAGCTTGTTGTTCCTCAGGTCGCCGTGGGCGACAAGGACGCCGAAGAGGGAGAAAGCCAGGGCGCTTTGACGCCGCGTGCTCTGCTGGGGGGGGCAGGAGGGGATTGGTCAGACCTCCAACCGGTAGGCAGATAGATAAAAAACTTCTACAGGAATATTTAATCTGAGCGAAATAGTAAAATAATGACTGTAATAAAACCTTTAGATTATTATTACAGAATATATATATATATGTATACACAATCATTTAATTTATATTTAATTTTATATTTTACAAATGTAATGGTGCAGCTTTTTTATTTAAGTCCACTTTTTTATATTTTCTCAGTTTTATTTCACAATAATTTTTTCTTCTTTATAGAGGGAATGGATGAACGCTAAATGTACGGCGACACTTTTACATCAAGTTTCCTACATAAAAAAGGTTTCAACTCAAAAGCTTCTGACGTTCATCTGTTCATGATGTCCTTCTGCTCCTTCAGCTCCACCTTGTTGTCGCTACAAGCCAGAATGAAGCCATATGAAGCTCACTAGAGTGAAACGCGCTGCCTTGGCAATTTGTGCAATTTTGTGCTGAAAGCCCTAAAAAGAAAAGGCGACGACGTATTTGGACAAAGACAGGGCTGAACAAACGTGGCTATTACGGTCTGTCAGTTTGACAGAAAGAACTCCATTTCACTCATTGCACCCCGGCCATGCTTCTGGGTTTTCCTCTGAGAAGAAGAATCTTTGTTTGCACACTGAGCGATTTGCAACGACCACCTTAAGACGGCCGACTGAATTATATTTATGGAAAATAAAATCCAAATTAAAGGATTCTCTGCTTTGTTTCATTTATTTTTTCATAATTTAATAATTAATCCATTTATTACTAATTTATTTATTTATTTGTTTAATGAATTAATTGGTTTAATTTGAACACTTCTGAGTTCCATACGAAGCAGAAAGAGGAAATGTTAAAAACTGACGTTGAATGAAGGGATTCAAACCTCGTCCTTAGAAAGTCCCTTCAGATGGTCCAAAATCTGGCCGATGAGCGTCTCACACAGCTTGTTGATCTCCGAGAGGAACTTTGGGTCTCCTCCATACAGCGTCTCATTGGAGTCCACTAAAAAACAAAAACAAACGCTGGAATAAAAAGCCAGAGCGGATGATATAGTGCGAAACCCAGGATGGTTTTACCTTTAGCGATGGAGTAGAGATACGTCTCCTGACTCATAGCAGCGAGCAGCGGCAGGGCGCTGATGTAAACCCGCACCTTGGCGTCGCTGCCGTCCTCCCAGGTGTAGTCCTGGACCATGTTGAGCAGCCCCCGGACCAGGTACAGCACGCCGTGCTCCGGGTGGTCCTGGAAGGATACGCTTTTTTAGCAGAAGGCTTTATATGCCCAGGCTGCGCCAAAAAAACAAAAAACAAGGCTGTTACCGGGACAACCAGCAGGGTGGCCAGGAAGTTGTTGATGAAGTCCAGCAGGAAGCTCTCAGAGGAGCGAAGCTTCCCCTCCACGCTGATGGAGCGCGGAACCTCAGGCAGGATGCTGACTGCCGCCTTCAGGAAGGCGTCCGCTGGAAGGAGGGATGTACGGAGTGACTTTTGTTACATTATTGTTGAAAGCAGAGAACAGGTTTTGTAAATGGTTGTAAAAAAATGCAATCAGGAAATAAAAAGTAACTTTTTTCTAGGATTTGATTTTTTTAAATCATTTTTTTATAGATTTTAGAGGTTTCTATTGTTTCAAATGTATATTTTTTGTATCTTATTATGTATATTAGATTATTTTTAATTCTTTTTTTAGGTTTTGTACCATTAAAATTTTATTCATTTCAAATGGCATTTTATTGGTCAGATTGTTTTCCCTCCAGGCCCAAACCAAACGCTCGCTCCTAACAGATAAAATGTCAGAAGTGCATCTTTGCTCCTCAGTTCTAAGGCCGGCTGCCTTAGAAGAGAGAATAAGATCTGAAAAAGGTATTTGATGAGAATAAAATTTGTAAAACTCGGTCTAAAAAAACTAAATTTTGGAAAAAAGTAAACAAAACTGAAAAAAAAAATTAATAGATAATTCCCCCCATACATAGGCCCCTGAGCTGCACTTCAAATATTCAATCATTTTCATATATTTTGTGGCTCAGAAAGGCTCAAACTCTTAAGCGTTAGTGGTAAAAATGAATGAGATTCTGGGCCTGAAAGAAGTTAAATAAAAATCAAAACAGCAAAGAAACTGAATGATTCAAGACGGCAGAACTCTAAAACACGCAAACCTAAAATCCCAGTGAAACATTTAAGATGGTGGACGGCCAAAGCTCCAGAACAGGAGGTGCTCACCCTGAGAGAGACACTGGTTGGCCAGCGCCACCTGACCAGACAGTAGGTAGAGGTGGAGGCGGCTGAAGATGTTGCTAAGGGATGGTGATGAAACAATAGGCTGCACACGCCTGGAAGCAGACAGAGCGTGAACAGGAAGTCCTCCTCCGAGGAAAACACGCCACACCGAGGAC